ATCGTACCTTTTGTTTGTCTTTGTTATTTTGTGAATATAATTTATATGAATTTGACCTTTCACCAACGTAATTCCTCAGCAGTTAGTTCAATATTGTCATGGCTTCTACTTCCTCATGAGTTCTTGTATCAATGGTATAAATATCGTGACGATTTACTGTACCAGCTTGGAGAAATTACACTCTTAACATCCCCTACAACAGGGAAATTTAAAGACAGTTAACATTTCTCAATTAACAACCTTAATAGGTGATTAATAGGTCCTTCCTAGTGTCCTCTAGTGTCACTGGTACAAATATTACTTTGTACCAGTTTTTACTGTACCGACTTAGAGAAATCACACTCTAAACACTCCTCCAATAGCAAAAATTAGACAGTTAACATTTCTGTGAACTTTGACCTTTGACCAAAACAATCCCTTAATAGGTGACGTGACCCTTTTCTGTCACATTTTACTTTACCAACTATGAGATATTGCACTCTAAAATTCCCTTTCAAAAGCAAAAAATTAACCGACTTGTTGACCAAGCGGCAAACTTTCGGTCTCCGGGCTGAAGCCTCCCCGGAAGACCGAAAACCTGCAATTCATCGAGTGGCCACTTGGGGCTGGATGCAAAAGGGAGTCAATCCCAAGTGGAAAACTTCCGGTCTCCCGCCTGAAGTCAACACGGAAGCATCTGAAACTGCAATTGATGGCCACTTGGGCTGGATGTCAATCCCAAGTGCCTTGACTTGAGCAATTGATCAGTGGCTGAGGCAGAAGGGAGTCAATCTCCATTGACCCCCATGTTAAAAAGCCCAACTTTACAGCAGAATAAAACATGTTTACAGCCTGGTTCAAAAAATGGTTTTAGTGCATATCGCTAACTTTGCCCTTTGTGACAACTGTGAATTTTTTTATAACTCACCTGTTTAAATTATATTAAGCCTTAAATTTCTGCATTACTAGGGGGCATGGTCGCTTTGATTGACAGGCACCTTTAGCCACTGCCACTACTAACACTCGGTCCGCCGTCTGTTAGCCTCACTCAGCTACACGGAGCTCTGAGGCTCAGCCTGTCGGAGCCTTTTGGACATTTCTACATGCAGATACCGGATGAATAATGGCAGGCTGTGCAGTTCATTGTAGAGAGAACCTCCAGGAAATCCATGTTCTACTTGGTGAGTGAAATTCCTGTATTTTATTTATGTGTTAACATTTAACAGGCATCGCTGTCGGCATATAGCTTGTTAGCTTAACGTTAGCTGTTAGCTCGTTATGCTAATTAGCCAAATACGAGCAGCCCCAAGCTGCTAAGTTACTGTAAGTAAGTAAGTTAGTGTGTTCTAACCGCAGCTTTTAATGAGTCAAAGACAAGTCAGCAAAAAGGGAGAAGCCAAAATGTAATGTTATTAGATTAACCTTAGTGTTAGACATTAGGGCGAAAATGCTTTGAAGAAAAGGCGTCTGTGTGAAGTTGTAAGTAAAGGCTGAGCTCTCAGTTAGCTGACGTTATGTTAATGGTAACTTCTACTAACGGGCGATGTGAGATTTAGCTACGTCCTGTAACGGAGTTATTACACTTAGTAGATGTAGCATTCCTTGAGATTCAGCAAACAGTCTGACGTGATAACTGCGTTTGATCAGCAATGTTTCTGATAAGGAGCTTAAGAGGTGGATGCATAATTCGTCAGAACAGCTGTTGCAGGCTACCTGCAGAGACTTTCATCCACCTTTTTTGTCAGCATATAATGCGCGTTATGCCTGCAGACAGGTAGCTGGGCTGTAACTAGGGCAATGGTTTAGTTAAGGCGAGAAATTAGGTGTTTGTGAGAGCCGCCTCTGAGTTTGTTTGGTGGATTAGAATTTGCCAAAAAAGGTAGTACAGTTCAATAAGAAATATAAAATAAGATCCTTATAATAAACATTCAATAAGATCTGACTTGAGTAGTTATTGTTGCCTTTGCAGGTGCCAGAGGAGCTGATTGCAGAACCCTTCAGATGTGATTAGCTGTGTCTAGCTCTTCAGGAGAGAACAGCTCCAGCTTCCAGCTCTTCAGCTCCTGCTTTTGTTTTACTCACAACACCTGAACACTGCTGATGTGAAATTATGACACTGGGTTCTTATCAACAGATTCTATCATTATAATAACTCAACACATTTCAAGTCATACAAAACTACTTTTACATTTGTAACCTTTTAATATTGATGTTTTCATGAATGCAAGACAAGAGTTTAATTTATTAAACTATTGCTTTTGTATTAGGAAGACTTTGTTATAAAGTGTATCAAACTAACTAATAAAATCATTCTTCAGTCATCATCAGTTTCATATTTTAATTTTAAATAGTGTGATCTAAATATAACAATATATCATAGTTAACAACTGTAAATGAAAATATTAAGATGTTATTTAAAGGCTAACAGTTTACATATGTTAGTAGAAAGTAAAAAATGAAAGGTTGATGTTATATATTGTTTTATTTTGACATTTCTTTAAGAGACAAATGTGACATTGACTGAGAAGTTACTCTGTAGTGAAAAACAAAGAATTATCTGTACACTGAATAGTTTAAGCAGGTGTCATTTATTGCGACCTCTGAGAAGGTCTTGTGTGGTTTACATTGTATAGACTCACCTACTGTATTTAAGACATGTGCATTTGGTCAGCTCTGAGACCTCAGAGTTTGCAAGGTCACAATATTCATAATTACTCTGTGCAGATCATTCTTTGTACTTTTTTGCACTTACCCACAGGATGGTTTGGATGTGCCCACATTATTCTGTGTTTAAACTAGACTTATATCAGAGCAGCAAACAAGGCACTCTTCAAAAACTTTCCTACTTCAACTTATCCTTGACTGATATTCTTTAGCAAGAGTTCAGCTTTAATGTTTCATGTTTTCAAAAATTTTAGAATAAATACATTTCTATTGTAAATTTTACAGAAATATCAGCTGTAGAAGTGCTCTCTAATCAGCTAATTAACTCAAAACACCTGCAAAGGTTTCTGAAGCCTGTAATCTCTCAGTCTGGTTCTGATGCTCACAATGAACTTTGCCTCAGTATTCAATTTTTTTGAGATGCTCTTCTAAAAGATGCCTCAGTGTTTTACTGTTGACAGCACTATTATGTCACATAAGTGGGAGAAATGGAACAAGGGAAACAGTCTTTAAATGTTTTTGTGTTGTCCTCTTAAGACAGACAATTTTATATCAGCTGTCAAATGTCCAGTAGCCAAGTTGTTCTAGTAACGTTACTTACAGTTTAAGCAGACGTGAAGGCATCAGATCCTCAACTAAAAACTTGTGACAAATATAAAAAGTACCTTTCTCTCTCAAGTGACCTATTCCAGACAATAATCTCACACAGCCCTGCCGACAGCAGCAACATTACTCTAAATAGCGGTGTGGGGAATAAATTAATGTGAAAACAGCCATGGCTAACATTTTACCAGATATATAGCTTCCATCATGTAACTAAGGACTCTACTGCTAGCTTATTACGTATATAACAAGTAACATAATCAGGTGACGTTCAAATAAACGACTCATAACTAATGATATGTAAAAGGGTTAATTGATTTGCTTCGAATTGTTCGTTTGAGCTGTAAGTAAATGTTAATGTAATAAATAACTGATTCATAGTTAACGTTGATCTCAAAAAATCTAACGTTAGTGTTGCAAAATAACATTACCACATTTATATATTAAAAAGCATTTAAAACCTTGTGAAGTATAGTGTCAATAACAGATACATAATTATTACCTTGACTATGAGCTGCTAACGACCATAAACTGGTAACAAAACGGCCGCAGGTTCCAACCTCCACCATACAGCACCGGGGGTTTAGAAGCGACCTCTGCTAACGCAGAGTAGCATATAGCATTAGCATGAGCTAACTCGGTCACGTCGAGATAGGCAGGAGTGGTTTCAGCAACACGTCACCTCAGCTCCACCCACGACACACCTTTTTTGGTTGTCCTGGAGTGACATGCCATGATGCGCTGCCAAGATGGCGACGACCGGCTCTGCCCAATTTGGGCTTCAAAACTGCTCTTCAGAAACCACGGACACTACATCCATTTTTACATACAGTCTAGGATGTTGACTGAACTTTGACCTTTAACCAAAACAATTACTTAATAGGTGACATCACTGATTTGTGTCCTAGTGTCACCTACTATTACTGGTACAGATATCATTTTACTATACCAACTTGGAGAGATTATACTGTAAAAACAGTAAAACCTTATATTTGTACCAGTGATACTACAGGACACTAGGAAGGAGATGATATGACAACTGTGATGTCACCTGTTAAGGAATTGTTATGATCAAAGGTCAAAATTCAGAGACTGTCTGTATAATTTTCACTGTTGGAGGGATTTTCAGAGTGTGATTTCTCTAAGTTGGTACAGCAAAATGTTATAATAGGAATAGTAGTGGACACTAGAAGGGAGATGATGTGACAACAATGATGTCACCTATTAAGGAATTGTTTTGGTCAAATGTCAAAGATCAGTCAAAGTTTCAGTCTGTGTAATTTTTGCTGTTGGAGGGATTTTAGAAGAACTCACTAGGAATTAGAAGCTATGACAACAGTGAACTGCTGAGGAATTACATTGCAGAACGGTCAAAGTTCACATAAATTAAATTAACAAAATAACAAAGAAAAGGTACATTTTGCAATTGTACTAATATTATTATAATTAATAATATTAATAATAATAATAATATATATTACCGTGGTATGTAGTTGTGTTAAAATAATCACAGAGCATCACAAAAGAACGCGTATGTATCTTTCAGGACCTTCGGCTCGCTCACAGCCCTACTTTACCATAATAACACTGCTGTGGGCGCAACAGAAATCAGACGGCGGCTGACTTGACCACGGTTTCGCATTCCGCGGCTACCTTACCGCAGTGACTGCTGCTATGGAACGTTTTCTGAGCAGGAGTGAAAAGAGGAAAAAGGGGGAGGGGGAGCTGTTTGTTGCCCAGGCTGCACCTACCATACAATCAACAACAGATCAACCATGTCCAGTAAAAATATTTAAAAACACAGGCAGTGAGCTCGTCCCCACAATAAACCCTGAGACACTTGTTAGGAAGTGTGGCTCAAATCGACCACTATTGTGAAAGTTGAGACCGGAAGCGCCTGCATGTTGCTGCGCAGTGTGACAGTGGCTGGGGACAGGATGCTGTCAGGCCAAACAGACGCACCGACCTAACGGGGAGAAACCGCAGCAGCATCTTTGCTTTCTGAAACTGGATATCCAGGTAAGGACGGCTAGCTGGCTTAGCTGTGATGCTAACCTGGCTGCTTGCCATACCTAGAATGATGGAAACGTTAATGACGCCGTTAACGAAACGAAACCTGTTTTTTCTTCATTTCCAATCATGTCGAAAATATGGCTATTGTTCGGCATACTGTCCTACAGGCAGCAGCTAAAGCACATTCATTTGACGAGATATTTGACCGTGTCGAGGCCATGCCAGCGGGGGTTGTGTGGTATTATGTTGTAGACGGCTGTTTAGACGAGTTTTCGTGTGGCGTTACAGAGGTAGCTTCCAGCTCAGGAGCACGAGACACGCGATTGCATCCATGGCTGTGCTGCTGTATCGGTGGTGGTATGGCATTGTATTGCACCACCAGCACGCACGCACGCACGCGCGCGCGCAAGTGTAGTTTGTGTTTGTGTCAACCATAGGTGTCAACTTGTAATGTGCAGTTCCTGACAAATCCAACCCGCGCTGACCATGTGGACGCTCTGTTTCGCTGTAAGGGATTGCATTTCCATTTTCAGGGGTGTTGGACGTGCAAGCGTTTAAAATGTGTGGTTGACTTTTGTCTCCAGTCTTTGCTCATACAGTCCTGTGTGTTCTACTTTTAATTCTTAATGTGACAGTTATTTGGTTGTGACCAGGGCTGAGTACTAACCGTGGCCTTAGAGGTCCATCCATAGGTGGTTAGAGAGTCTGCCCAGGCAATGGATAATTCCTGGATGGCTGCAGCTTGTGATCATTTATACAATCAAATCATTGCTTGAAGAGGATAAAAAAATAGGTGTCAGCACTCTCCATTCACATGTCCCCCCCTCCACAGTATGAATTTGTGTAATAATGAATAATATATAATTAATTACAAAGTATAATGTTAGTATAATATTTATATATTTACAGGTCACAAGATCGAGTTTTTGTAGCATTTAAACAGCTTATTAGTTGAGATTCATCAATTCATCTGTTTCACATTTTATGATATTACATTCCTGTGGTTAAGGTTTGATTAGGGCCAATGTTAGTGTATTCATTATAATTTCAGATTTTGGTATAGACTACTAATATAGTTTAGCACTATTAGGCTACAATATTAAAGAGGTGGTATTATGCTCATTTTCAGTTTCAAAATCCTTACATGGTTTAATTTTCAAAAACCACCATATTTATTGTCATACTGCACATTGCTGCAGCTCCTCTTTTCACCCTGTGTTGAAGGCTTCGTTTTAGCTATGGAGTGATACATCTTGTCTCTAAATGATCTTTGTTGAGAGTTGCACATGTGCAGTTCCTAGTTAAGTACTACTAGCCAATCAGAAGCAGAGAAGGGCGGGTCAGCGAGAAGCAGGTAAACAGCTTTGATTCAGCTGTAGGCTACATGTTGCCGACCAGCTTGGCAACAAAGACTGGAGCAAGAGTTTCAGAGTGGTGAGTTATTAATCTGTAACAAAAGGATCTTTCATCCATAAAGTTTTAACTGAGCTCTGTCTCTACATCACAGGAACAACTTTATGTCCACTGACTGCCTGGAGGGTAGCTAGTGTTTGGAAGGGAGAGGAGAGCTGTGTGCTGCAGCTCAGTGTTTTTCCACCGCTGTTTTTGAGGGCGTGTCAGACTAGCCGCTTGGCGAGCATTATATGAGGCGCATTTAGAGTTTTCTGTGGCAGATGGGAACTCCCTATGGGGTTGACTTTGGGCTTTTTCACTTTGCAAACCTATTGCATGCACCAAAAAGGTATATAACTCAATAAAGGAGAGGGAAAAAGGGAAAAAGCATAATACCACCTCTTTAATACCAGTTGGACAATATTTTATATATGTTTTATTTTGGTTGTTGTTTTTATTCGTTAAATTATTATGCAAGAAAAATGCTTTACATGGTGGTCAGTGTCTGAATAATGCTAATGCTAAGTACTAACTTGTAATCATAATATTCATGCAGAACAACAAGTTCAACATTTCAGTTCAACATACAAGTTTGCTGATTGCTGTCAACATCAGCGTCACTTTGTGATGAAAAGTGGTGGAACATAAATGCTCAGATTAGGGATGTGATGATACACTTGGGTCACGAGACCAAGACAAGAGTATGTTTGATATTATTTTATATTTTACCACTATTTTGAAGAAAATTTGATGCTGAAATGAATGAAGGGGTCCTCCACTAGAAGATTTTGAGCATTAAACTCTCAATTTCATGCATTCTGTAGACATTTTCTGCACCAATTTAAAGTGGAAAGTGTCTTTATGGGAACAGTTGAGCGTTGTGTAGTGCACAGAGAAGAGTACCTGCAGCTTGTAAAAAGTGACAGTACGCAAGAAAAAAGTCCTGGCACCCCCAAAGAGTAAAAAGTTGAGGACCACATCAAGCACTAAGGGCAATGTATAAACTAGAGCTCGACCGATTTATCGTTATGCCGATATTACCTGCCGATACGAGCTACTTGCAGATAAATCAGCATCAGCGTTTATAACAGCCAATTTATGACTATTAAAAAAGAAACAAAGTCAGATCCTTCACTCCAGACCGTATTTGGGGGGGCAAAAAACCTAGAGTGAGGTACGAAACTCTCCGGCTACCAAATGATCAAGGAGGCTTAATTCAATTCAATTCAATTCAATTCAATTTTATTTATATAGCAGCAACAGCTATTTATATATCTCACAGCGCTTTTCATAAAAGAGCAGGTCTAGACCGTACTCTGTGATGATATTTACAGAAGCCCAACAGTTCCCACCAAGAGCAGCACTAGGAAACAGAGGCAAGGAAAAACTTCCTTTTAAGAGGCAGAAACCTCGAGCAGAACCATGGCTCAGGGTGGGCGGCCATCTGCCTCGACCGGTTGGGGTGAAGGAGAGAGGGGGGGGGGGGGGGGGCAAGAGAGGAACAGAGAGAAAGAGAGAGGGATGTAAGGAGAGAGAGAGAGAGAGGAGGCAGCCTACACAATATACACACAGAGGTACAGACAGTAAAGGTGATGTTGCTATAGACTAAATGAAAAATGGTACAGATATTTATAGTAGTGTTAATGATAACAGTCGTAATGTTAAAGATTATAATAACAATAATTACAATAGGACTAGTAACAATAGTCGTTGCAGCAGAGGGTGTCGAGCAGGAACACGGGGGCAGCAGGTGACCCGCAACCACAGATCCAGACTCCACAGCTCCAGAGCCAGAAAACCTGCAGGAAGTGATAGGAGGAGAGAGGAGAGGGACGAGAAAGCACAAGACTACCAGAAAGGGGAGAAGTTGTGTTAGTAACATGCAATAATGGGATGAGGTTGCATACAGAGGGAGAGAAAGTAGAGGAGAGAGGAGCTCAGTGCATCCCCCGGCAGTCTAGGCCTATAGCAGCATAACTAAGGGATGGTTCAGGACTAACCTGAGCCAGCCCTAACTATAAGCTTTATCAAAGAGGAAAGTCTTAAGCCTACTCTTAAATGTGGAGATGGTGTCTGCCTCCTGAACCCAAACTGGAAACTGGTTCCACAGGAGAGGAGCTTGATAGCTGAACGCTCTGGCTCTGAGGAATTGTGACACAAGTTATATGACCAGGCGAGCGGAAGACCTGTGTTAACATCTGTGAGGGATTTAAATGCTGGATAAATCTACCAGATTTGAAAGGAATGAACTGTCTTGTCTGTCTGTTGTCATGTTTGTGATGATCCTAGCTGGTTACCTTTATTAGCTTCTCCGCAGCGGTCAGTATGTGAGCGGTGGAGGAGAAATAGACCGAGCGCGTGTGTGAACAAAGCCCCTGTGAATAGAGAGAAACGGGTCAGCGATAAGGCTTGTTCAGCAGTAAATGTACAGTAGAAGTTACAGTGGCTGGTGAATAAGGACTGCAGATTCTCAGGACTGAAGAGGAGCTCCTAGGTGTTGCTACTAACTGTTTTTTTATTTATTTATTTTTTATTTATTTATTACAGGGACAGTGCATATTCATAAACATTTCTGTCAATATGCCAGAATTAGCCTAAAGGCTATTTTTCATCTGCAGTCCCTAGACAGATGGTAAGAGTCACCCTAAAAAAGATTACATAGTACATAGCACTAAAAAATTAAGATACATTTAGTAAAATATCTATTATATTAGAATATACAATCTAAACACATCAAAACAACAATCGGACAAACATCACGTAAAAACATGACACACACATAAGGAAAAAAAAGTCAACAGTGTGCGTCAAGAGCATGTGTAGTAATAGGTTAATGTTGACAGCTCTGATGATCAATAAGCCATTTCCTTAACTGAATCTTAAATGAACTATACGTGTTTATATTCTGATAGTTATGGGGGTGAGGTTCCACTCAGCAGCAGCTAGAACAGAAAAAGCAGTATGACCAAATACACTTTTCCTAAAGGGAATGATACAATCTCCCCTAGCTGCACCTCTGGTCCTGCAGGAATCAGCTGTTCGGGTATTGACAAACTGTTGGAGGGGAGGGGAAGATAAACCATGAATAATTTTATAAATAAGACATAGATTTGTTGAGTAAAGAGTGAAGGAGGTTAGCCCCAAAGTTAGCTTTGACTTCGGCTCTGGAGATGAACAGTCTCTCCTGTGCTTCCCAACTCTTAACAGTCACTGTATTTTTAACTATTACAAATAACTCTCTAGTTTTTTACTCTGTTGTGTTTTGGATGCTGCTTTTGTGAGCTTACACATATTGTTTTTTTGATGATGTTTGTTCACTAATTGTAACTACTGAAGTTCCTCTCGATAATCCTGTCATTAATAAACTAGACTCCGTATTTTGGATTTAGACTTAGAAAAGTACTTTACTTCAATACATTTTTAAATATTGACAGTTTTTTAATATCCAGGATTTATTTAACAACCGATTAAACATGTTAACAGTTTAACATAATTTATAAGTCTTTGGTTTTGTTGTAATACTGATAAATAACATTTGGAAGGAGTGCCAGTAAAAATTGTCTTTGGCCCAGTAAGTTTCAAACCAACTGGCCAGGGAGGGCCAGTTGCAAAAA